CTTAACAAAACGCTAGCAAGAACTTCTAACTGAGCTCCTCCGGTCTGGCGATAACTTTGGGGAGCGACTTCCGTAACCTTTGCCTATTTGTTTTACTAGTCTCGGTATCTGAGTAGACCCCTATTGGCTTTGTTCGGCTGCTTACATCAGCGCTTAGAACATTAAGTATATAGTAGACTAAAAGCAACCATGGGCGATCTCATCCGTTTTCTATCTCAATCTAGATATGCCCAGCTGCGAGACTAACCAACGCTCCTTGTCAAAGACCTAAACCCAAAAGGATAACAGAATAGGCCCTATAGCGGTAACTCATCTGAATCTCATCTCAAGGCCAAGTGTTTACGTGCAAGCCCGGGTGGCCTAGTGACCCTCGTATTCGTTTTTTTGGCTCAGACTGCTAAAACGTTCTTGCCTTGTCCAAGCAAAGAAGACTTACAAGGCTCACTGGAAGGGTAATTCTTCCTTTTTGCTTAGAACTAGATGGCTCAGAAATTGCAAGACCTGATGGTGCTGGTTATGATGCTTTCTCTATAGGATGTTCACCACCAAGAATGTGTAGTCAATATAACAAATGGTTGCTCTTGCACCTTTGAAAAACGAGAGGGATCTGCATAATTTTTCGTATTCGTGAATGAAGCGTAATTAATACCTGTCATACTATACGTGTGGTTCTGAAGTGCTTAGAAATAATTTAGTGCCTCAGTTATGATCCTGGATGTTGAAGATCTTAATTCGACATCCTTGGCAGTAAAACACCGTGTAGTGATTGATATCCGCTTGGTTGAGAAACATGAAATGGTCGTCGACGCTGTTTGAACTTTGTGTTAATTCAGACAGGACCATAGCAATATGTAGAAAGCTATGTAAGTGCTCTCTAATATTGACCATTTAATACACGCAGTGCCGTATTACCATTTGAAGCACATGGAGTCACGTTGCAAAGAAAGTTTAAGCATCACAGAGCGGTTGCAAGATTATTATGGTCATACATACCTGCCTCATTCCATTGTAGGTGATGCTCACTGTACAACAATCTCCCCTTCTTGTCTTACGTCACGACTACTCGCGCCAACCCACACTCCATATCGTCCCCTTTGCAGCTCCCATGCCTGAGCCTCTACATTCCAAATGCTCAAATCACGTCTCTGAAGCTCAAAATCCACGACAGCGCTCTGGCCTGGCTTCAACAAGCCCACACGCTCGAAACCCCTCAGTTGCTTCTGCGGCGCATTCGGAACACCAAGATACAATTGCGGTACCTCGTGTCCAGCTACTTTACCCGTGTTGGTGATGTTGACGCTGACACGATACAGCACATCCCATAGCTCTGGGTGGCCGCCCTGCACAATTGGCACCGAGGGAGATGGGAAGCGCGAGAGCGAAGTGTTTGGTGCTACCGACTCAATTGACAACTCGCCGTAAGAAAAGGTAGTGTAAGACAGCCCAAAGCCGAATTCGTACAGCGGTGTGACGTTGCGCTTGTTGAAGTCACGGTAGTCGATATACAAACCTTCTGTAAAGTTTGATTGCAAAAAGGCGGGGATGGAAGGGTCGAAAGTCGAGTTGAGCAAGGCGCCGTAGTCAGATTCGGAGCGAGCAACAGTGTACGGCAATCGGCCACTGGGATTTACGTCGCCGAGGAGTACGTCGGCGATTGCGTTTCCGCTTTCTTGACCCGGGACACCAGCATATAGGATGGCAGTGACGTTGGGATGGTCGTACCATGCGTCGACAGTGCGGACACCTGCTGAGTGAATAACAACAATGGTGTTGGAGCAGTTTGTAGCCACGTTTTTAACGACCTGGTCGCTGAAATCGTCGGTGAGAGATGTCCGATCAAAGCTTTCGGATGCGTATGCGTTGATGAATACGAGGCAGGCTTCGGCGTTTGCGTAAACAGTCGGATTTACGCCCCAAAAATCCCAGCGAAGTGTTCCACGGTTCGCAATCAACCGGTCTTGCAGCGCTTTGAACGGGCTGATTACGTATGGAGGTGTGCTAGAACCCGAGCCGCCTGCTGTTATCAACGTGCCGTTCAAAGTGTTCCAGCCAAAGTTTTCTTCGTAGCCACCGCCGAAACGTGAGGGGTTGTTCCAGGGCGAGGCTTTTACCTCTGCGTCATAGCCGTAGATATTCAAGAAGCGGGGATTGATAAGGGGAAGGGTGTTGTTCACGTTCTTCACAAGAACGGTACCTGCGGCTCCAATCTCCCTGATCAAAGAGCCATGGTCCTCCGTTACGTCCACAATCTCGTGCTTTACATTGTACGGATATATTTGGGTGTCGAAATCGGCTTCGTCCTGGTTGAGATAGTAGTAGGCTGCCAGTAGTCGGGTGTTCATATCGTTGAACCTTTCAGCAGTAACCGATCCGTTGTTCACGGCGTCGGTGAGATTCTTGCCCCAGAACTTGGCTACGGGCATGACTACGTCAAGCCCAGCATTTGCCGATGCAACACCCGCATGTTGTGCATCCCAATCGGAGACCTGAATACATATGAGCATGTTTTTTTAGACTGTACCTGGATCGGACATACCACGAAACCCTCGAATCCTAATTGAGTTTTCAATACTCCGTTCAGCAGGGCTGAGTTTTGGCAGCCATATCTGAACGTAGACATATAGAGTCAGCGGCTTTTCCCTACAGCATACATCATGAAATCTACTCACGAGTTATTGATCCTCTGGTAAGAGCACATTACAGAAACAGCACCTTCACGGAGAGCATCCATGAAAGGCCAAGCATACAACTCGTGTAGCGTGCGGTCGTCAACGTTTGACGAAACGGCCTCGCCTTCGCTTCCAGGTCTACGTCTGTACTCCTGCTCTTGAGCAATCCAATGCTAATCAAGAAAATTAGTCTTTTGTTTTCAATAGTTTCAAAATGGGTTAGAAAATTTCCCACCTTTGGAGTTGCCATGACACCTGCTTCCTGAGTGCCTCTAGTGAGCAGACCGCCTCCAACACCATTAAGATACGGATCAGCACCCAGACCCTCCCAATTCCTTCCACCTCTTACAACACGCCCAATAGGCCCAATAAAAGGGCCCAGCGCAATGTGAATACCTTTCCCTCTGAACTCTCGACCTAGAGCTTGGCCATATCTCAGCATGAGCCTTTTGTCGAACGTCGCTCCAAGATGAATGCCGGCAGGGAACGCCGATACAAATTCTTGACCGCGAATACCAGCCGGAGCATCAGCGAAGCAGAGTTCAGGAATGTCAAGACGAGGCACTGCGCCTGTCTGTCCTACACATCGTCCCGTG